TTGAAGACATATTAAAGGCTTTAACGCTTGTTTTCGACTCGCACTACTATTCATGATTGAACAAAACTTTTGGCAGGTACTGTATGAAAAAGTATGTTTAATGAACAAGAGTCGAGAGTATAATGAACTTTTTTCTCCCTACCTACGATTTTGCCAACGCGCATCCAAGACATTGGAAGGGGCACATCGCTAGAGAAAGTAAATGAAGTATAATTAACGCTATTTGTTAAAATATTTTAGTACCTTTATAAAAAGTAACAGTATAATAAAAATTATAGGGAAGATCAGGCGTCTAAAAACTGCGCTATTGAAAGAATACATTTCAGCTGTCATTAACAAAACCGCTGTGTTAGATGTGTATCATCTAAGGATTGATTTGCAATTGTCATAGGTGCTTTTCGGGGTGTTATGTACGAATGAAAATGCCCGCAAGTGTCCTAAGTAACTCTGTATATACTCAAATCTGATGAAGTACCTATCTAAGTCAAAGTCGCAAAATGAAGGTGTATGTTTGTAAAACATTTTTTACTACAAGTCACGACAACCTTTACTTCTTTCGTGGTATCTTTTCCTTATGTAATCTTCGACTAAGGCTCGGTTAGGATAGGACCATAAGGTAATTAAAATAGTAGAACTGTGACATAAGCCAGTTCTGATTTGTTGAAAAAACCTCATACATCTGAAGAGGCACAAACTACCGTATTGGGTTGAAACAGGATTTTTTTAAATAAGGGTATGTGGTATTGTTTTAGCTTAGTTCTTCATAACGGTTGTGGTACTGCGACCATAGTCAGTTGCAATTTGTTGAAAAAGACTCATTGTATCTGAAGAAGTTCTTCATTAATATTGTAGTATTGTGGCCATAGTCAGTTGTAATTTCTTGAAAACCCCATTGTATTTGGAGAAGTCGAGTTAGTAAATCATTTTAAAAAATTGTGTAGTTACAGACTCAATTTCTTCTTCAGATACAATGTATTTTTCACCAACATATAATTGGCCACGGTCACACTACCACAACTTTGATGAAGAATTGGACTAAGGAAATGTACACAGCACTTACCTAAAAAAATTGTATACATATAATACTGCTGGTGCTTCTTTTTTACAAATGAAGCATAACCGTAAAGTTAGTTCAAAATCTCATGAGCCTTCAAATGCGCGAGAGACAAATCTTAATTATTGTAATAGAATTGCACATTACGATAACGTTGATTCTGCTAATAATTAAGTACACGGATGGAACTCCAGGTGAAGTAGAAACGGGATGACTGTCAACGTATTTAAGAGATAGAAATGTCACTGCACAACTTAAGGTCGAGGCACAACAGATTCTCAACTACCTCTACCTATAGCTTGAGTTTCTTTTTTTTATATATAGTTTTAAAATATAGCAAAACAAACTGAAAATTTCAAATACAAAAAATGTCTTGTTCCAAGAAAAGAATAGATATATTACAGTTGCTTCAAATAGTTTAACTCATAAATCCACCGAAAGTAATAATTTTTTGTTTAGTCTTGCGTATTTGGTCCTAGTCCTATTCCTTTAGTTTTGGCCTGGGCCTTTCCAGATAAAAATGATCTTGGTCTTACATTTTCACAAGATCAAGACCAATTTTGTTCATCACTATTGTAGATTTTGAAAAAAATTACAAAAAAGCCAGACTAGGCAAGAAAATTCAAATGGAGTTCTGTGCAATTTAATTAAATTAAAAATAAAAGTCTTTTCAGCGTTTCTGAGAGCGTCTCTCATAGTTTTTCACAGTCTCTCAGTTATTGCCTAGGTGTTTTTATGGATCTCTCACAGTCTTTGTATGAGAGACTCGAACGATAAAATTGTTAATTCAGAGATTCGAGTCTCTCACAGAGAGACTGAACGAATAAAACTGAAAAATTGAGAGACTCGAGTCTCTCGTAGAAAGACTGGGATCTCTGAAATATGTTGAACT